GGGGGGGGGGTAAAAATAGCATTTCTGAGACCAGTGTTGAAAGAGTCACATAGCCTTATAATATATACGATTATTTGTTCATGTTGGATTGACAATTCAAAAAAAAAAAAAATGGTTTAGAGAAAGTCTTGACAATTGAACTGTTTGGTTGAGGGATTTTAAGAGCTCAAGAGTAGCTTTAGATTAAATTTATTAGCTTTTAATACAGTCATGGTTATCACTTCACACAATTTAAATTAGGGATTTAAAAATAATAAAAATAGAATCACAATCTTTCACGGTACAAACCTGCAATTGATCATTCTTTCGTTTTTAGATTCCCTTTTCATCTCAACTCTGAACCCCCCTGCAAAACATTCACATAATACACGTTAAAAAAAATCAACTAACAGAATCATGTCTTATATAGCTTTGAATTATCTAAGTATCGGATGGCAAAAGTTAAAAATAAATAAATCAGAAATTAGTATAATATTTTAAAAAATCTTAATTGTATTTTGATCTTCGTTTCGCCATGATCTGTTGTGACATTCACAGGTTCCTGCCACCGTTCTGAAGTCTCAACATATTATTTACACTTGAGAACGTTTGAGAGTCTGAACAAGACAATTTTCTGAAGGCAAAAAGCTCTGTCTGACATTCGAACTTACGGTCTTCTAGCTTTAACGATTTATTTCCTCACCAGGCACACAAAAGTTAGCCTGAATGTTTTTTTTTTTTTTTTCTTTTGAACCTGTCACTCACCTCGAGGTCCTCTGATTTTGACAGCGAGTTGCCCCGCCCCTGCCCCGTGGGTGTCCACCAGAAACCTGGACTCAAACGTGTCGATGAGACCATTCTCAACACCTGGACCAAACACCTTGACTTTAGTTGGGTCCGGTGGCTCACCTATCCTTATGATAAAAGGGCTTCCTGAGGGGTAAAGTAAACAAACAAATAAATACTTGTTATTTTAACAGGAGAGAGAGGGGGTGGGGGTTGGCCCTGGGGGGGGGGGGATCAGCGCGGGGTGAAAACAAAATTTTGTTCTACTAAATTACTTGAGCTTATCTGTTACAGTGTGTTATTATCTTACATGAGTAGATAATTCAACTATCCTAGCTGGGACTTGGACCCCATTATATCATACGTGGACCTGCACCCCATCATACCCTGGGACTTGTCCCTATCATATCCTAACTGGGATTCATCCCTATCATATCCTACCTGGGACTTGGACCCCACCATATCCTACCTTGGACTTGGACCCCATCATATCCTACCTGAGACTTGGACCCCATCCTATCCTACCTCGGACTTGGACCCCATCATATCCTACCTGGTACTTGGAATCCGTCATATCGTACCTGGATCTTGCACCCCATCATATCGTACCTATGACTTGGACCCCATCATATCGTACCTGGCACTTGGACCCCGTCATATCGTACCTGGAACTTACACCCCAGCATATCGTACCTATGACTCGGACCCCATCATATCGTACCTGGGACTTGGACCCCGTCATATCGTATTTGCAGCACGTGTTTCTCCGGCTCAGTCGGGCATATCCTCAGCGTGTAGAGCCCATCGCTGTTCTCTTTGATGTCACAGAGGGCCGTGTGACGGAAGCTGTGGCACTCTGCCGTCACCTCACCTGCAACAGACGTGCACTTGTTCAACACACTGAGCGCCATGCTGTACCAGGGC